TTATGATTAATGAGAGTACGTGTAGAACATGCAGGGAAAAGACGCGATTCATCATTAGAAGCGCCACAAAACTATTTTTATCTTTAAAAAAAACATGTGTCGTATAATTGGCTTTTTTATTTTTATTTTTTAGCAATAACACAGATTAACATTTAAAGTTTGATCTGGAAGCAGATCAGTTTTACTACATATTGGGGGAAAGCTGCTACTAAAATTGGAGCATATAGTTTGAAATAAATTAGTTTTTGTTTTATAAAACGGTCACTTGAGTCAGTGTTAGAACTAAAATACTGAAACGAAAGAAGTTGATTAAAATGCAGACTGCACATTAAGGAGATTTCTTGTATTTGGTGTTTTTTAATGTTAAACTCAGTCCACTGTGGATAATAAACTGTTCTTTATATCTTACATATGACACAAAACAGCCCTATTTTAAAATGTAGTATCAAATCAACTGACTAACCAGACAGGGATGTTAAAATATTTAGTATTTAATATTAATAATAGTGAAATCCAGATTTTAAAATGTAAAATAAATAAATAAAAATCATTGAAACACTCATGATCAAAATGCAAATAGACTCTGTTGGCATGAAAGTGAGTTATTGTTGTTCAGGCAGCTGCACATGAAAAACTGTTTGTGGAATAATATTGTAAATAACAACTGTTCTTGGTAATTCTTCATTATTCTATCACATAACAGTAATTGCATACATGGACTTGTGTACCTCTGAGCTACATGCAGCCTTAAAGAAGACCAGTTTGTGCCTCATCCCTCACACTGAGAAAACAACAATGCATGTAGTTTTCATGTGTGGCAGCATCATTCAGCCCAGACCAGCTTCTCCTCCTGTTGAACCCTGTTTCCTACATTTACTGCCTCCTGCTCCCACAGCCTTTAAAACATTCACGTATTTGCTCTTATTTTTTATGGACGTCACAGTTAGGTTTTATACGGGCCTTCTCTGCCCGTCTGCTGCTGAATGGCAGCCTGTCCAGGGGGCTGCCGGAGCAAAGGCTGCTGGGAGGCCGTGAGCGCCAGACTCTCCTGTTTGAAGTGGTAGATGATTAAACGGGTCATGACAGGTGTAAAAGCAACCTTTGTCATTTTGGACATGTACCGTCCTTGCTTCCTCGGCTCACCCACAACGGAACGCCCTGCTCACCTGCAGCTCACACGGACACAGTGTGTGTGTGTGTGTGTGTGTGTGTGTGTGTGTGTGTGTGTGTGTGTGTGTGTATGTTGGAGTGTGTGTGTGTGAGGAGGCTGCTAACAATCCTGCACCGTCACACTCCCTCCTGCTCTCATGTGATGAACGAGTGACACATACAGTGGTGTTTGGAGACATGTAAGCTGTGTGTTTGCCGACTCGGTTCTGTGCCATTTGGCTCAGACGTGCATCTGGTGACGGAACACACTCCTGAGAGACGAGCCGAGGCCTTTATGTGACTGGAATAAAAGATGTCGGCCAAATTTATCTGTTATTGTTCGTGTCTCCAGCGAGTCCCATCTATCACCTCGGTGTCATGGTGCCATATCAGCCTGACACCGGGTTCCTTTGACCTATCCTCTGCAGCTCTGGTGCATCAGTTACAGCATTTGTCATGTTGTGGACTGTTTTTCTTTATCACATGTGCTGCTCTTATCTTCCCTCAATAAGAGCAATCAGCTGCATTGGTGGGAATATTACAGTTAAATGAAGATAGAGAGAGTTTGCTCTGGTGTCATATGGAGCTGGAGTTCAAACAGAGCTTTGATAGGACAAATCATTCTGTGGTCTGCAGCTTCAAGCGGATTAGAAGACCAACGTCTGGCTGTGTGTAATTATAACATTCATTTGCTCAGGATGTGCTCAGTGGGATTAAATGGACGAGGATCTCCTGCTTTGTAATAAAATAAGTTTGTAAACTTCTCAAGATGTGCTTCATTTTTTACTCCGTTATCAGCAGCCAGTCGTCTCCTGCAGGCCAAAGTCTGCTCCTCACTATTTATAGAGCAGCTGAGTGAATGGCAGAAAGAGCCACTGATGCTTTTGCTTTTGCTTACAGAAACGTTTTGTTTTTTTGCAGAACAGAATGACACGGTCGAAAGAAAAAGGATCTGCTCTTAGTCATAACATCTCCGTCAGTTTCCCCACAATCAGGTGCTGAGTCACGAATCTTTGTCCAACAGTCGACTCACGGCAGGGTCTTCCAGGATATTTTACTCCCATGTCAGAAGGAACCCCACCTGGAAAGAGCCAG